TTAAAAGAATGGGGGTACACATAAAATAAATGGATGGAAAAAGATACAATAATGCATGCACACCAATATCTTGAGAAAAAATGGAATGCACAGAAGATCTAACTGATCAACAACAACACAAAGAAATGAAAAAGAAACATCCTGTTGATGTTTGAACCGTTTTCTTTACCAAACAAGTCAAGGATAACAAAGTAAGAACAATCTCAAACCACCTTCTTGGAGGCAATGTTGAGCTTGCAGCAGAGTTTGTTATTATCTTTATCAATTTGATTGCTTGTTGAACAAGGAGTGTTTTTACTTGGTGTAACGGTTATTGCTTTATAGCCTGAACTGTTGACATCTATATTTATGTGATGAAAGACCGCATTCTATCAGCCATGATAAATTTGCTTGTCTTGAGGTAAGCTTTAGGAGCCTATGCACTATTTAAATACAGTTTATGCCCACTGTATAGAGGGGTTGGTCACACCCCTCAAGGGTGCAAGGTGGCATTTGATGGGGGGGGGGGGGAGGAGGGAGGATTAGTAATAGGGAGAAGGGGGGATCATAGCTAGAGGTATCTGTTGGGAGGGGTTATTGAAAGAGAGAGTTGAAAACCCTTCAGAAAATTCTCAGATGTCTTGTTACTCTACTGATGAGTTTGAAGGTACCTCCTAGGGGGTGGGATAGTTTGGAGTTCTTTGAAATACTGTAGCAGTGGGTTGCTATGGTCTCAAAGATTCTGCTTGATAATTAAATGGTTTTTATTTTTTTAATTTATGTAAATTTGTACACCAGACTCTCTCTCTCTCACTCTCTCTTTCTTTCTTTCTCTCTCTCTCTCTCCCTCTCTCTCTGTCTCACCATCCATCAAGCTCCTTGTCTCTAGTTGCAGGTGCACTATGTACCGTGAAGTGAGAACATACAAGAACATTTTTTCACCGTGCAATTCTATCTCCAGACCCCTGTAATGCATGCTAGCATGCCTTGTTCCTCCGTGAATAACGAAGAAATCTTGTACAATACAGGTTGACATCAGAACCCTAAGAAACCTACCTGAAGAAAAGAATTCAATTTCAAATGTTGAAAATACAACCCAGGATGAAAATTGTCTGTCTGTTTGTGTTTGTTCATTGGGGTGTATGTGTGGCAGATTTGTGGGTTTGGCTTGATAAACTTGTCACCACACCTATAATTTGCTTATAAATTGACTGAATGACATAAATAAAATTGTGGTTGGGTATCAGAACGTAAGAACCTAAAACCAGCGAAGAAGAACATATACTGTTAGACATTGCATTTATTTAATATTGCTGTTTATTACACACAACATAATGCCATATGCTACTTTACTAAAACTCTGCCTATGAGAGAACACACTATTTTTTTTCAATTAGTAGAGTTTATTGGATATTTAAACCACAACAGGCATTTGCCCAAGAAAGTATAAAGTAGATTTGGTAGAACCAGTTGGTACTGTTACTTTAACTAGAGTCAGCTGATACTGTTCTCTGTGATTGCTAGAGCCTGCTCAAGAGGGTATGATGAAGTCTTAGCCGTGTCATCCAATATTATATTACACCACGCTAACCGAACGCCATGTACAACATTTAGATGAAGTTCTCACATTAACCTTGCTATGGTAGTGTTACATTAGTCATGCGTAGCTGACTTTTATTTGGGGGAGCGATTTGGATACTGTTTCCTTTTAAAGGTATTTGCACAGGGTTGTCACTCTACAGGTAAGTGTATCCACAGGTAAGCAAAGACACAGCTCCACAGGACACTAGTTGACACCTGGCAGGGTGACACTTTTGTAAACAACCAGAGAATTTTGTCACCGTTTTGGGAGATGTGGGGGGGGGGGGGGGGGGTCTCAGAGTGACCTCAAGCTTAAGGTGACTTATCTATCTATATTTTTCCCCAAAGGTCTTGTTTACCTGGATCTTGTTTCCCAATGTCTGAAATGTTACTCTAAATCTGAAAGGTCAGTACAAGTATGCATGGACTACTGATTAAGAAAAAGGCTTGTGGATCATCAGTTCATTTATGCTCACTCTGGTGCCAAGTGTTTTGCATACTATGTCAGATATGTGTACACTTTAATGTGTAATTAAAAGGGGCCAAGTATCTGCCCCTTGTGTACTAATCAAAGAAATATTTGAAGATTTTTCCTTTATTTAGTAGAAGGAATATGCAGCATTAGGTCAGTAATAGGGATCTGACATTACTATAATAGGGCTACTTTGATCTTTTATGATGGAATTATTTTAAGGGTTTGGTAATTTTCTATGAACATATCTTTGGGTGATGGGACAGTTCTTTAAAGAGATTTCTGAAACACAAACTTTGTTTTTTTTTTACAGTGTTCAGGAGGTTGAAGGGTACCTTGAATAGTCAGCTGCTTGGAAATTGTTGTGTTTATGACATTTATAACAATGGGTTTTGATTGACATTTATGTGACCATGCTTGGTTTAAGATTATGATTGGGTAAGATGCTGGTGTACCTCAGTCCAAGAGATAAATCTGAAAAAAAAAAAAAGAATTGAACCATTTAAAGGCTTAACTTACATTAAATAGAGTTCATAACTGGAGAAGAGACCATATGCAGGTCTATTTTATATATGAGGGATTCAATCCTAGCTAATATCAAACATGAAGGTTGACTGAAGAGACAACCCCAAATCTTGGTTTGGCCAGAGGTAGGATAAAGACAGTGTCTTGTTGTTGAGGACTTAAAGATACATGCAGGTAATATTGCAAGGGGGCATCAGGGGCTTGTTTCCCAAAAGTACTTCAGACTGAAGGTTGGCCTTAACTTTTAGACTAAAAACTTGTCTCTACGCCATTTCAAAATATTATCTTAATTAATATAAAATAGTCCACTTTGATAAAGTAACTTTTGGTCTAAAACTTCAACATGTCTTTTTTGGTATATTAAATTAACAATATTTTCATTAATTCATTTATCAACTAATAATATCTTAAGTGAAAGCAGACTGAAATTTAAATCTAAAAGTTAAGGGCTAAGGTCCTTCTGTGACACAAACGCCAAATTTACCTTTACCTGTCTGAATGAAGTATGTAGTTAATTCAGTGGAATAATTGATGGCAGGAGTGTCCTGTAGGGACATAATATACCATATCATGTAATATGATGCATTGTAGCCATTAGAATTTATTTTATATTTGGACAGTAAATAGTCTGTGTCACAGTGTGTGTTGAAATAAATGTAGCAATGGGGTTAAAATACAGATGGGAGTGACATTGAAATAGAAAGATAAAGATGAGAGAGAGAGAGAGAGAGAGAATCTATAGATGAACTCTTTTTAATAAATGAAAAACATTATGGCGTCAGTTGACATTTATACGGGAAATAAAAATTAAGTGATAAAGCCAGGACTGCTGATATTGCTTCCAGTCTATGGCATAGTAATTATAGTTGACATTTAAAAGTATACTTGATAATTAGATCTAGATACGTCTTGTTAAGGTAATTACTTAAAACTCACAGGAGAAATTGTATTTTTTTTTCAAATTGGCAAACATTCTTTTGATCTTTGTGTTGTAGTATTAATGAATATTGGTATATGAAATAAATGGAGGCAGACAGCAGAAATACAGTGGGCTTGTATAGAAGAGGCCAGTTGACAGTGATTAAATAATTCATTAAGTCAGCTAACTCAACAGATGTGCTTTTGATTAATTAAATGAAATGAGGGTAATTTGAGAGTGGGTTAATTTTTGTAGAACATTATGTAGTCATTATTTTATATGGATTAGAGCATTATCATTGTCATCATCATCATCATCATCATCATCATCATTGTTAAGTTAAGTTAAGAATCTTATACTAGTAAATAGCCATAACACTGTTGATTTGATTAGATATTTAGAACTGTAAAATTACTAAAGGTTAAACATATATTTTCTTTTAAAGAAAGGTGGTCATCAGATGAAAGGAAACTGATGTATACAAAATTAAAGTAATGATCTTTACTAAGAAATCTGGTAATTACTTATCAGTTTCAAACTTCCCACTTAAATAATTCAGTATTCACTTTTTTTTGGTCATTTTTAGTCAATCACAAAATTGTAATATCCAAACTCACTTACTCAAATCATTTTTTCACGTAGTTGGAACAAAAAAAAATTGATTTTGGAAATTAGATTCATTATCATCAAATTGGTTGTGATTTACTGAGAAATGACTGTACAGTTAAATGGAGGAAGTCCTAAGTTCAAATTTAAATTATTTAGATAAGAGTTATGGGAAGATGGGTTTTTAATGAATTTGTTGTGACATGTGCAGCTGTTCTAATTGCAAGCCATCATAACAAGTGTCATGTCTGGATTTGACATGGAATGGTCATTAAGACTTTTGACTGGACCGATTTAAGTGAACATGACAGGGTTGTGGTCATTATGTTTAGAGAAGCAAAAAAGAAAAAAAAATAGATTGAGCTTGATGGTAAGAAAGTGAATTTTTAAACTCTTTGGTATGTTTTTATTTAAATTCATTGAGACATGTTCTTGAGTCAGATTTCTCTTTTTGAATGGATTAAATCTTGTTTCTAATGATAATGGATGCTAATGTTACAATATATTACCTAACTCAAAGTGACTTGTTAGATTTTTCTGGCAGCTCAAAAGGTATTTTGCAAAAGAAAATGAGAAGTTTTAAAATCATCTCACAACTTATTGATTTGGCTTTATGTCTATTTTTTTTGTAGAATATTTTATGCTAAAGTTAAGATGAAACCATCCAGAATTTAAATACAGTGTAGTTTTCTTGGCCATGCTCACTACATGGAATAAAGTTTCCTTAGGCCAAACTATTGGCTAGGTTAAGCCAAGTCAAATTGATGAGTCAAATCACTGATAGATTTGGGAAAAAAGAAAAGAAGAATGCATTCAGCTTCTGGTTAAATTTATTTTATAAGAGAGAGCTTTGTGAAGTTTAAGAACCTTGTTATTGACTGTCGTTTGTTTGTTTATTTGTTTGTTTTATCTTTCTAGATGATGACATGACTTTTATGTGCAATCAGAGAGGATGACAAGCAACAGGATATGCGAGAGGGACGAATACTCCGCCATTGAGATTTACTTGAAACAGGCTGAGGTAGGACCATTTGTTGAAGTCTTAATTGTTAAGCTTTCGTTTTGTATGAAAAAGTTTGTTAGGCTCTCGTTTTGTGTGAAAGTGTTTGTTAGACTTTCTTTTTGTGTGAAAACGTTTGTCTCACTCATCAGTTTTTCAAGTATTGTAGATGAAAAAAAAAATGGTGAAAAATTGCTCTTCCCTTGTTGATGGATGACCCAACTTAAAGTAAAATGAATTGTTGGTAGTGAATTTTTGACACACAGTCAAAAACTGAATCTCATTGTTTTCTGGAAACTATATAGGGATTATTCCCAATGAAACTATTGTTCTACAGATATCAGTCCAACTCTGGATGGGGGGGGGGGGGGGGGGGGGGGGATATCACTGAATGCAATCACATGAGCAGATTAACATGCCTCCTGGCATTGAACAGAATAAAGAAAGTTGGTGATTATACAAGTATGTTGGAAACAAGAGGAGGCGCGTTAATCTGTTTATGTGATTGCATTCAGCAAGAGTCCCGATGGAGTTGGATCGATCTATACGTAATAATAGTTTCATTGGGCCACTGTTAACATACAACAACATGCTTTTGCCATGCCCAGTAACCTTTGAAACTCAGGGTTTCCTTACCTTTTGTTTGTTATTGGAAAATATATCCCCCAAAATTTGTCACAAATTTTGATGAAATTTCAATTTACAAGATAGACGATTTTTTGGGGGGACTATAAAGGCGTGATTACAGTGTAAAATGAATTTAGATCTCTTTATATTTTAAAAATAATTTTTTATTGCTTTTTTCCTTCGTGGGGATCTGTACTCCAGGAGTGCTCTCTAGTTGATTGATACTTTTTGCATAAAAAGTTTATGTCCTGAGAAGAAAGCTCTAGTATATCTGTCCCATTATAATAAATACCTATTTATCAATTTGAATTTTGTGGGAGAGCAGATCAGCCTCAGATCATTGTGATTATGAAGTGGAGCTGGCGAATTATAATATTGTTAAGCATGAGAATTCTCCTCACATACAATATAATTGCAACATCAAATATGCCGTTAGTACATCTGAAGAAAGGGTACACCTAGCAGTGTCAGAATTTCTGTCTTTGAATTCTGTTCTCATGTCGTGAATAAAACATGATATCCTTGTGTTATGTTAACTTCAGACAATATTGCCAGGTGTTAGAAATGACATTTCACACCTTAGAGAAAGGTTTATTACATGATTTTACCCCCCCTCAATTTGGTTGATAATACAACAGACACACACTGGGCTTGCTTTAAAAAAAACAACCTATATTAACATATACCTTATAGAGTGTTTAAACATAACTATTTGAAACTGAACTCAAAATAAGAAAATAGATTTTCATTTATAATAAAGTTGCAGTTGAAATTAAAATGCATTTTCTACTGAAAAATCAGTAGATATTCAGTGACAAGCCAAGATAGCAATACTGCAGGGAGGGAGGGGGGGGGGGGGGGCAAAAAAGTGCAAAAAGAAAAGACACAACAATTGTTTTGGGATCCCAGCATAGAGCTGAATTGTTGCTAAAGTACACCCAGGTATATTTGAGTCCAATGTGTAGTGTTTGTGGTACAGGAAGCATTTTTCTAAATAAAACTTCATCTAATGCCTGGTTTAGATTAGCATTTTAGCTTTGATCTTGGTAAATTCACATTTAAGAAGATCTAAGATTGATTGAGGAAATTTCACTGCATTTAACATCACACCGTTGATGGAACATATCACATGATTTACATCTTATGTCATACTTCATTTGTGGATTTTGAAATGAAGATGTAAGCAGGATTTAGACAAAAGTTTTACATTTAGAGCATTTTGGCTATAATCTTTCACTGGACAATCTGATAAACTCAGCTTGAATTTAAATGTGTCAGTCCAGTGTTAGAAATTAAGGCTGGACCGTCTGCCCGGGGCTGACAACGTTCAGAACGGGCTGAGAAGTTTTCCCACCCTGCAGACATTCAGTCCAGCTACTTTTCAAGATGGCTGGACTTTCGGTCCAGCAACTAATTTTCCTAAGAGGCAAACACTGTGTGTCACAGTGGATAGAACGAGGGTGATTGGTTTGGTTGTGGGTGGGGGAGGGAGAGGAAATTCTCTGTGTGTACATTTGACTGCAGAGAGACCCACTGTGCCTCAGATCATGCACAGCTAGTTGTCTGTTGAAACATTTCAGATGGAAGTCACTCCGCGTAAAATTTGTCTAAACTGGGCTTGAAACCATATGGTTATTGTAATGATCCCTTTGCATGCTGTATCATATGGATGATTTGCATGGTTATTGAAGACACCCTTATATTTAATATGTATATATTGCATACCTCTAAACTAAAATTAAGCCTGATTTGCCATAACAGTTAATGCTGATGCTAACAGGTATGTATATTTATGTGGATACCCCTCTACCTACGGTACTAATATATGCTTATGTAAACATGAGCTTTGGTAACACCCTGTAGATTTAAAACAGATATTGGGGTGATTGGTCAAAGATTCAGGTGTGGTTTAGTGATGATGCTATATTGGTTAAAACGGACATGCGGTCAGGGCCTGGAAATGCACTGATTTAATTTTGCAAAAAAAGGTAGGAGTCAAAAAATATATTAAGAAATAGGCTTGTTATGTGTTAGCTAAAGAGGTGTATTAGAGATGGGCATATGGAAGTCAAAATGCTCATTCAAGATGCTTACACAAGGAAAGTAAAATGTGATATCAGTGAGTTTGCAGACTAAGGTGGTGTATATTAAGATAGAGAAGGGAAAACAGAGAGAGAGAGAAGGTGGAATAAATGAGAGAGAGAGAGAGAGAAGCATTGCAGCTTATCTTAGAGCAGTGCAGAAGAAACACTTAAAAAGACACATGCTGACATGACATGCATGGATAATAAAAACTGTATCCACATATAGTGAGACAAATGATGTTACAGTGGTGCATTTATACATATGCTTGTGTAGGGGAACCTGGACTTGCATGTGAACAGTGAATTAGAAGTCTTTAAGTCTGTATATAAACATATACATAGGTTAAGATCAGCTGTACTACATATGGAGAGACCAAGGGGGGGGGGGGGGGGTCACAAAAGAACTTTAGACCCAAAGTAGGTCTAACATTTAGAACAAATTTTCTTCTAAGTTACTGTAGGTTAATTCGGCAGTGATTCACTAGAAAAAGGTAACTGTAGGTCCTAAACAGAAATCATATTTATTTCTTTTTATAAAACCAGTACAATGTTACATGGTCTTATATGGATGACCACTGATGCATCTTTTGTCTAACACCCCATTTCCATAGATTAGATCGACCTACTTTAGATCGACCTAACTCCCTGGGGGTTCACGCTAAATAGCTGTCAGCCGGGCGGACTCGAAAGTTAATTACCCCCTTACAGCTTGTAGTAGGTGGGACGGCCATTTAAGTCGGATTATCTGAAAGTAATCTAGTGAGACTCCCCGCAGGGATAGATCGATCTAAAATCTATGGGAATAGAGCCTTAAAGTGAAATTGTGGTGTAAGAGGAAAGACCAACTTTTTGTGTGTGTAACAGGCCCCTAAGTATCGGATGTCACCAATCTGTCACCCTGTTGTCTTGTCATTGCCACCCATATTGTTGTCACATTGACGTATGGATGGGATAACCCCCCAGGTACCACTGAGATACCTGTGACATCTTCATTTGTTTGTTTATATCTTTATATGCTCGCTTTTTATAAGACCCCCTAGACACAACTGATAGAGCCTATATTGTGTTATTTTATTTCTCTGTTGGCACTAGGGAAATACATCAATAAATAAAATTACATGAGTATTTTGTAAGGACAGGACAAAGACATTATGTATATCGATACTTTTGTTGGTAATGAAATGAACCTTGAAGAATTATCTGTAATGTTGAATTTACTACTATTGTTTTGTCATTTCCAATGAACAAAATTATAGAAAAAAGATTAATGATTGCTGGATGAAGCAACACACAGGAAGAGTACAAATTTCAGCCTGTTTGATAATAAGATGAAATGCAGAAAGACCTAACACAATCTGTGTCATCATTAAATTAATGCAAAGCTAAAGAGAAAAGCAACAGTCCCAAATTCAAGGGGTGGGGGATGGGGGGGGGGTTCAAATGAACCAACCTGTTAGCTGGGAAAGGGTCCTTTCTGGGTAAAATTTGATCTTTTTTTTTTTTTAGAAAAAAAAACCCTTTAAAAATTGCTGTCTAAGGGCCTAAGCAGACAATATCTCTGTCAGTTTTACCTACATGATAGTTTACTTTCTGCCTAGCAGCGGGTATCCAGGGAGGTGGGCTGTTGTGTTTATTTATTGTTGAAACACAAGTTTACAGATACAAGGGGCCCAGTTCACTAGATTACTGTCGATCTTTATCATTTCGGTCCGATGCTGGTCTCACTGCAAAATGGATGTCGTTTGCAATTTCAAACAAAGTTCAAAATATGTGGTCAAAGATAACTGTTTGACTCATTGCAATCAACTCATCTTCCCATGCTTTAGTTTCAATATTGTTTATATGTATAAGATGTTCACATGCAATAGGGATAATAGAATAAGAGTCGATCTAAGTAGTGATCTGTCTGAACACACCACAGAAAATGGCTAGTGTGTTGACAGGTGCTAGAACAGGTTCTAAGAAAACAGGGTCTGCATAGTTTGCCTCAGTTGTTGAAGGGTTATCAGATGTGGATACAGGCAACGTAAAATCAGATTATGCAACAGTATGGCTGGACCTATATGCTTATACCAATGGAAGCAGCAGAAGAAAACGCTGTGGTGAAAATAGTGTTGTTTGATGAAAAAAAACAAATTAGGGGTAGGGCAGTCCATTATCATCCAGAGTCCTATACAGATGTGTGCACATAAATATGCAATTGCAAAAACATGTATGCACACACATTTGCATTCATGCACATGCATAGATGGATACACATAATTATGTATATGCACACAATAAATGCTCTCATTTATACACATGTAGGCA